GAGAAAATCTTAGGGTTCAAAAAAGCATGAACCATAAAAGAAAAAAAGTTGCTAAATTGGGAATTCGTCAAAATTTAAAACACTTTGAAAGACATTATTAAGAAAATAAAAAGATAAGCAACACTCTGGGAAAAGACATTTGCTAATGTTTGTGTTTGATAAAGACTTATATTCAAAATATAGAAAGAACTCTTATAACTCAATGAGAAGACAAATACCCTGCTAAATAAAATGGGCAATATTTGAATAGATATTTCACCAAAGAAAATATACAAGCAGCAAATAAGCATACAAAAAGATTTTCATTATCATCGAATTAAAGGAGTTATTACTACTATATTCACTAGAATGGCTAAAATTAAAAGACTGATAATACCAAGTGTTGTAAGGACATTGAACAACTGAAATTCTCATACGTTACTGATGGGAATGCAAAATGGTACAGCCACTTTGGAAAACAGTGTGGTAGTTTTTTATGAAAATAATCATACATTTATCGTATGATCCAGGAGTCCCATTCTTAGGTATTTATCCAAGAGAATGAAAATATATGTTCACATGGACTTGTAGTTGAATGGCTATAGCAACTTTACTCAAAGTAGCCAAAAGCTAGAAACAACCTCAATGGTAAATGGCAAACAAAATGAGGTATAGCCATACAATGGATATAAAATAAAAAGGTAATAAAAAAGAAGGACTATGGATAGAAGCAACAATGTGCATAAGTATTAAAAGCATTATGTTAAGTGAAAGAAGCCAGAACAAACTACATTGTACAATTCTAACTGTATAAAATTCTAAAAAAGGCAAAACTACAGAGACAAAAGCAGATCCGTGATTGCCAGGAGCCAGGGGTAGGATAGTACTGACTGCAAAAAGACATGAAGGAACTTTCTGGGCTGATAGAAATATTCTGTATCATGACTGTGGTGGTGGTTACACAATTGTATGCACCTGTCAAAACCAATAGATTTACACATGTAAATTGGGCGGATTTTACTGCATATAAATGCCACTTCATTTTTCATGATTCTTTAAGGGGAATACATTGAAAAAGAACATAGAGACTGATCTCTAGGATAAATTCTATCTAAATTACTTAATTCATCTTACCGGCCCCATGGATCTCTTAGCCCTCGAGCAGCCAGCTTCTGTTGGACAGTTTCTAATGGTGTCCCTTCTATCTTCCACTGTTTATAATCTGGAAGTTCCATTTTACTATGTCCATGTTCATGTTCATGTCCATGTCCATGGGCCATGTCTATAGGAAAA